AATTGTCCGTCAACAGCGTACGCGTCCTGCCATTGGCTGGCGACTGGTCCCAGGTGTGATTTTTTTTTTTTTTGAAAGTGGCACTTTCACATCACACCGACGAATGGCTGTCGATGCGCGCTTGGATTCCTGGGCGGCATCCAAGCGTAGCGGAGTGATCCAAGCCTCCGGGGTTTGGCTCGGTGTGTTGAGTAAATGCGCACACATCCACACCCACACGCTCGCTTTTCAGGCCTATTCCGACAATGGCGCATGCTCTCTTTCCCATGGGGTGTTTGTGTGAAATGAGGAGTTTCCCCAACTTTCTCGAAATAAAGCGCCACCTCAAAGTCGAGCCACAATCTGTTCCGTGATACTGGTCACACTTACACGTGGTCCGCTTTCAAAACAGAAATTGTCATTGAGATGGATTCTATTTGAATCAATTTATCCCTCAGTCCAAACTTTTTCCATCGTAGAATCTTTATTAACCGTACAGCCAAAGATTTGAGCAACATTTTCCACATTATCAGTACCAAATGACCTGCGGCCCAGGGGTCATTTGGTACTGATAATGGTGCCATCATTGGGTTGGGGAACGCCGGTCTACGGTTTGAGCGCAAATATTTTAGAATACTTGGAGAAAGGCTTTGACATAACTATTCATTCATTGCCACGTTTTTCTACATTTGTTTATTATTTATTTTTGTTCTTATACCGCATGATGTTTGACAACAAATGAATCTGAGAAGAAAGCATGTTGCAGGAGGTTTCACTTAAAATTCGATCTGGGCACCAAAATTCGCTCCCATCTTCTCGAGACGGCCTGGGATCCCGTCCAAAATTGGGATCGAAGACATTTCATTTCCTGTCGAAACAATCCCTAGAAAATACCTTGTCGTGAGCTGGGCGAGTCTCCTTGTTGAAAACGGGCCTGAAAAATAAGGCCCGATGCCCTCGCGTCAGTCTCAGGGTTCGTAGCAGCCATTTGATTTGAAAGCCATACTGCGCATTTTGGTTTTGATCACCGGTACTTTACTGCAGAGGAACATGAGTCACGAGTGCGCTGCTCGATGACAACCGTCTCACTCACGGATTATTCCTGTCAAATTGGAGGATTTATGACTCATGACACAACGTCGGCCGTACGAGCGATCCTAAAGAGCGTGGTGTGGTTTATGGTTGCTTACCCTCGGCCCAAAAAAAAGTCATGTTTTCATTGCTGTTTGTCTCGAAGTGGGATTATACGCCAAATGCTTTGCCGGAGTAAACAACCCCCCTCCCGGCCCATACGAAAAAAAAAAAAACACGGCATATTTTGCTTCGGATTGGGACAAGTTGTACACCGTGGTAGCTGTTTACATGCATTTAGGGTGTGTGTGTGTGTGTGGGCATGCGAGTTGTTTCAGGTGTTGAGTCAATGTAAACAGCGATACTGGAAGTGGGTCACTTGAAAAGCCATCAACTCGACATTTGAACGCAGGCACTCGATTCAATTGACCGTGAGGCCTTTTTCTCCCCAGTGCGCCACTTCACAACAGAAGTCGTCTGAAGGCACTTCCAAAATGGAGCAAGTCGAGCATCTGCTCACACGTTGGGAAACCAAGAGTGCGTACCCCACATGGCCAACCACTACTGCCAAGGAAAAACTCAAACCTCCAAACGTCCAAATACGCCTTGGAGTGACCCTTTGCTTTGAGCGCTTCGATCGTTTGAGCTGAGTTCTGACAGGAACTTGTTCGCTTTCTAATCGACTCATTTTGAGTGATTCTTTGTTTAACCAGGTGTGGCAATTATCCATTTTCTAATCCGCTTATCCTCAGAAG